TAAATAATGTCGAAGTTGTGTCATTATACAGTTTCAAGTTTATAAATTAGCTGTGTGTAGATTAAGGTTGTCTGGCTTTCTACATTTCAAAACGTTCTTACAAAACAGCCATACTGTGAATGAGCTCCCCATAGTACGAAGGTCTCTTTACTAAGCTATTAAGACATATCCGGTCATGTGACATATTGTGTGTGTGTATATATATATATACGCTTGTGTATATGCAACTTAAATTTTTGATAATGTAGACAGGAAGTAGCGCAGCAGGAAGGAGAAGTTGTGTGTGGTAGGAAGTCTTGGACGGGTTACGTAGAGAGGAGCTTTGTAGATATTGAAGGTCGGTGATTGTTCGGCGGCGGGAGAGACAAAGGCTGTCACCAAGGAAATTAGTTCCAGGATAAAAGAAGACCTGAAAAACTGGTCGCTAATCGTCGATCATGGTTTCTAACAACAATTAATTTGGAATTATTTACGATATTATTTAACATCTCACATCTAGTTTGAGGAAGATAGCTCCCTTGTTGTGGAAGTAAAGATGGTGGGATGAGGGCATTAAATAAAGTTTATGATTAATAATTAGTTATTTAATATATCATGATGGCATGGCCCTTTTCAGGGCGGCTTGGATAATGTATCCTATGCCTAAAAAACTTTTGTTGTAGGGAGAAACCAGAGTACCCGGAGAAAACCCACTTTCACGTCAAGCGCCAAATAATCTACCTGACTAGTACCCGTCCTGGACAGCTGAAATGAATTAATTGATTAGTAAAATGCATGTATTTTCAGGAGTCATGAATATTCATTTAACATAAAAGTTGTGTTAATTTTGTTTTTAACCTGGGCGATATGTGATGAGTGTTGATGATAAATGTTGGAAGTTTCTTGTAAGTGTGTTTCGGGTCGCAGCTAGTTTATAGTATTTAGAGGCGAGTTTGAAGTAGCGTTGTTTAATGGAGGGGATATCAGTACTTTCGTCTGAGTGATGGGTGTTGATGATAGATGTTGGAAGTTTCTTGTAAGTGTGTTTCGGGTCGCAGCTAGTTTATAGTATTTAGAGTTGAGTTTGAAGTAGCGTTGTTTAATGGAGGGGATATCAGTAATTTCGTCTGAGTACTCTCGCCGCGTGTAATTGGGTAGTCGATGTGCAATTTTGATAACCTTGTTTTGTTGGGCTTGTAATCTGTTAAATGTTTTGTCTGTGACGTTAGACATGGTTGCACATGCATATTCGTTTAGTGGTCGAATGTATGCTTTGTAGATGGTTTTGATTGAATGGCTGTTTCATCCCAGTTGAGGAAAGTTTCTTTTCTTTTAAAACTAAATACCTGTCACGAATAAAATAAAATAAAAAACAACATGAATTAGTAATTAAAGAAGCTTAACTATGAATGTACAACAGGAAGATTTAGGGGTGTGACCAGACGGTTGCTTTGTAAAGTGAAATACCCGATAAAGTGTTCTCTGGACATGTGACCTCTTGGTTCTGGTTGTTTCTATGGTCCAGCGCTACTCTGACTGGTTGTCGTATCAAACTAGTGCTTCCGAAAAAAGCTGTTTCCTTCGGCTCTTCTTTACGGCTTTCCCTCACGCTTAAACTACGAAAAATCAACAGCTCAGAGAAACATCCACTATAATTATCGTAAGCCAGGGCTAAGAGAAGTAACATTAATTTTTGAACGCCCCCAGGTTTTCTAATAAACCTAAAATAACTACCAAGTCAGATAAGATAGGATACCACTGTACTCTTTGTTCTTGTGAGAGATTCTGAGTAGAGCTGAAAATATTGCTGTTCTCCAGTTTCAAACTGCATAACTTGAAATATTCTTCAATAATAATAAACTGTTTGATTTATAGTTAAAGTGTAGTTATTTAAAAGTAAAATTTAAAATAGCTATAACTTGAAGTTATACTTGTTATTGTATATAATTATATATGTAAAATAGCTCTTATCAGAGCTACATAACTGCATAGTGTGTGTTTGTGACACTTTAGCCAGCAATTTTTAGCTTAGTTTGTAACTTATAGTTTAAGTGTTACTTATCAACCTTAGGATATAAATACTGTTTCTTAGCATTTTTAAATTTTACTTTAAGTTGATCTTCAAAAGATTTCGTCCTTATAATAACATTAGTACTACTACTTTTACGATTAGTTTATAAATACTTGATTCTAGATTAAGATTACGACTTAATTTAGATCTAAACCTTAGTTTAGGTTGACTACTTTTAGAAATTATTTTCACACAAATTTCAGAAGAGCACTATGTTTGTTTGTGTGGTTTTGGTTTGTTTTCCTTTTACCAGGAAATTATCAAGAAATTGAACTTTTACGATTTGGAGAACCCACTTCAAACTTCAACAGGTCAACTTTCAGGTTAAAACCCACTTCAAACTTCAACAGGTCAACTTTTAGGTTAGAACCCACTTCAAACTTCAACAGGTCAACTTTCAGGTTTCCAATCACTAATCCACAGTTATCGAACTAAAGGATGAGTGGGAGTGAAACAGCAACAATGTTACACTTTATGTATTTAGTCTTTAATTTAAACACACCTTATTGAACTAGTACCTACAATAGTAACATTTGAAATAAACACACCTTATGGAACTAGTACCTACAATAGTAACATTTGAAATAAACACACCTTATTGAGCTAGTACCTACAATAGTAACATTTGAAATAAACACACCTTATTGAACTAGTACCTACAATAGTAACATTTGAAATGAATACACCTTATTGAACTAGTACCTACAATAGTAACATTTGAAATGAACACACCTTATTGAACTATTACCTACAATAGTAACATTTGAAATGAAGGAGCGTTTATGTAAATCCAATTATTGTATTTCACTGTTACATCTTCAAATATGTTGCAATTTCTATTGTTATCCTTTTTATTGTATTGTAATTTAACGTTTTCACATTTAATTCATAGTAATATTAATGTTACATTAAAATAGGAATAGTATTACTAGAGTTGAGCTTTTACTTTTATTTGCTAATCGATTAATCAACGGGCTCATTAATCGATCAGTACATGCTCTTCACGAATATAAGGTGTGTGTGATATCTTTACAACATGGTTATTTTCCTTCACATTACTGTGGTTTTCTTGAATGGGCACAAGAGGTTTCATAATTTCATTTCATACACCTTCCGATCACGCTGAAGGTTTATATCACATATTTAGTTAGTTATGCATGAATTTTGATGATGTACGGGGTATTTTATATGCTG